TGTAGGGAAGTGCTGTTTTCCAGACCAGTTCCTCCATGCCATAATGGTTGGTATATTTGACTTCCCCTATTATTCTGCCTAAGGAAATGGGGCTGATCTCTTAAATCACTTTTCATAGGAAAGACTTTCCATATTTCCAGTGACTCTCTTTACCTTTTCCTGAACTCTTTTTAGCTTTTAATGCTCATTTGAGATGGGTCATTACCACTGAAGATATGCTGTAGCTGAGCCTGTACTCTCGGTTTACTGTAGACTCTGTGCCTGTTTTCACAAACCCTTCTAAACACTGTTAAGAATTCTTTGGGGAGAGGGTCAAGCAGTACCGTATGGGTAACATATGGTTCTGTTTCTTCATTTGAACCAGACCTGTAAAATTCTCATGGGAGAGAAAGGTAGGTGATTAATGCACAGGGAATCAGGAGAAATGATTTCTCCTTCAGGCTTCCTTAGTGATGTCCTAGGGAAAACCACAAATGCAAAATGCAACCCTATTCATATTTATTGCAGTAACAAATTTGCCTGTTGGCTTGTGAAGCACTTTTCCCATATGTAACACGCACATGCATGAGTATTCTAATTACGAGACTGTGCTGTGCAGTGCTGCCTATTTTATTAAATAGTATCCATCTGTTTTAATGGGATTGGTTTCATTGCATGGTCAGGATGATTAGACCTCTTGCATTCCCTGGTATTAACAGATAAGAAAAAACAGTAAATAGGAGCTCAGTGCTAAAAGAGGAAATGGAGGTTTTTGGCATTGTGTCTATCGGATAAAATGAAGCTATTTCACTGAAACTGGAAAACTTTTTAACCTATCTGACAAAAAATTTTGGGACAAATCCATATGTACAAAAACATCTTAGCTGGAAGGAAAGAAGTCGCAGTATTAATAGCCCTCTGTCTGCTAACATCACTGGATTAAGGTTAACAAGCAGAGACTGAGGAGTCATAAGTAGATATGGCTGTGTGCTTGATTAGCAGTTATTTAGGTCTCATTTGTGTAACACTCTCTCTGGCTTGAATTTGCCCCTGTGATAGTGCTAAAGGCTATTGCAAAGTGTGTTCAAAGACTATTCAGAGCATATAATCAGAATGTTTGATTAAAACTGTTACAGCAGAAGAACTGCATTTAAAAAGGAAAAGGATAAGAAAAAAGGGCTTCAACCTAGAAAACAGCACATTCTTCATTTTACTTCCAGGACAATCCTTTTAATCTCATTTGGGTATTTACATTACACTAAAACCTCTCTGGAATTAGGGCCCAAAATGTAGTCTTTTAAAAAGTAAATCCTTCACAGCTATAAGACCTATCTTGTATGTTTTTCATGTCTAGGGTCATGAGAATGCAACTAATGAGCAACTGGGAATATTGGACTGCTCATTTATATATTGAATATATATATGAGTATATATAGAATATGTATTGAATACGTATTATACATTGAATATTATATATGAGTATACAATATATATTAAATCAACATTGAATATATACATAATACTGGACTGTTTATTGGAATGTTAGATGGCAATGATTAATTTTATGAGTTAGGTTATTGCACTTGCTTCATAAAGTCTGAGCTGACTATCCAAAGCAACTGCTGAATAAGATTTTTCAGATCACTAGGATCAACAACTGTTGCTTTGGTAAAAGAAGTGCAGTTTAATACATGTGTAGTGTGATAAACTTAACCTAATCTTGAAGAGAACATTAAAGATAAGAAGCTCTATTAGTGTCTGTTTATATATTTAAAAACTACCTAATCAAGACACCCTTTTGTAGTATTGAAGGATCAATTGCATTAGATCTCAACAGTAGTAATGTTAATGGCTGTGCTTAGCATTTATTTTGGCATACTCTGTTATCCTTTGATATTCTTTCTCTGCCTTTGGCAAACAGCTGAATATAAATTACTATTTGTTTAGCCAGAGTTTAGAAAAAAACCTAAATCCACTTTTCTGAAGGAGGCTTGTAGCTTCCTGGGGGGTACTGTGACCAGTTGTAGTTATAGTGATAGGCACATCTCAGCTGTGCTGTGTGATCCAGTCCATGGGTGATTTTTATGTGTTGTTCTAAGACATTTTCTTCCTTTTTCTTGCAGGAGAACCGGAATTTAAATATGTTGGGAATATGCACGGGAATGAAGCTGTTGGAAGGGAGTTGCTCATCTTCTTGGCTCAATACTTGTGTAATGAATACCAGAAAGGAAATGAAACTATTATCAACTTGATCCATAGCACACGTATCCATATCATGCCATCTTTGAACCCAGATGGCTTTGAGAAGGCAGCATCCCAGGTTTTATACTTTTTATATTTATACATATATAAGAATAGTTACCAATGTCTATATCAACCTTAGGATCATAATGGCACTTAGACTAGTGGTTTTACAGATAAATGAACTCTTGGTGGTGATTGTTGAATGGAACAACATAACTGAAGTATTTCCTAATAGTACAGTAGGCTTGTTCTGTTTAACAAGGAGGATTTTATGCTTGGGTTTCCAACAAATAGCCATCTCTCTTGTAGTTGATGTCATTATATTTTAATATATAGTAATGTTTATGTTTCATGCATGTTCTTTCATCTAAGTTCACTGACCAAACTGCTTCCTAAACAAGGAACTTCTAGTAATACATGATATTTCAAAAGTGGTAGAAAAGGGAAAGTTGGTATTTCCTTTAAGAATATTCTCATGTAAATGCACTTACGTGAATTATTCACATTCATCAGAGCTTGATCCCAAAACAGGCAAACTTTGTGAGCCATCTTTTTAATATGAATAACCTTGATTCTGAATTTCAGGCATGAGGTACTTTAATTAGGCTATTAGTCAAGAAAGTTTAGCATGTATTTTAGAATGATGACTCAGTCAAGAAACATGTAATGTGTTAATACATAATTAGTAAACAGAGGCCAAGTAGGATGCTGTTATATACAGCTTCTGGTGTGTATTATGTTCTCAATAAAAACAGGATTTTTCTTGCTTTACAAGGTGTATTAATTTTTTAAATTAATAGGGAAATGTTGAATCTTTTTATGTGATTGTTTATTATTAAATAAGTCAAACCTTATTAAGATCTTGATTAAACGGATTCTCATGAAGTCTTTAAAAAACCCAAACCTCAGAGAACTCTTTTAAACCATATTCGGTCGTATGTCTCCCTCTCGTGGCAATGAAGCAGAAGCTGGCCTCCAATTGGTGCAGTGTTTTACTTGTTTGAAATCTGTCTGTAGAGATTTTGTATTAATATAATTTGAAACTTTTGCTCCTTAGTCAAAGTACACTTGCTTTTACAGCACTGTCTTACAAATTACATACGATTTATAATACAATTTGTTTTAGTGTCACTGTTATTCTAATTTAGAAGTATCTTGCTCCTGTACACAGTGTGTGACAGTAGATTCAATATACCCCAAGATTAAAACCAGTAATCAAACTAAACCTACTTTATAGAGTACTGAAATCTTAGAGAGACAAGCTAGGGAAAACTATGTGCTCTGAAGGCATTTTGTTAATGCAACCCAAAACCTATTTTAGGGAATCAGCTAAAAGAAAAGATTTTTGCAAAAATTCTCACTGCATCTTTATTCAGTGTCACCATTGCAGTGAACGAAGCTGACAGACACTATAAAAATAAAAATCTTAGGTAAATAAAAATTAAGGTCCTTCTTTACCTTGAAGCTATTTAGAGGAACTTTGAAACAAGTGCAAATGTTCCTTCTGGCTGGCTGATAAATCTCCAGCTGCTCTGAGGCTCACTAAATTGAGGTCTGTAATTCATGAGCATAGGCATGAAGCAATGGGGAAAAGCCAGGTCTCGGGGGAAGACTCAGAAGGCACTGGAAAATCTGATGCTGCTGGTAAATTTGCCCATCCTTAGTCCAGATCTGCCACTATGAGAATGATCCTCTCCTCCGAGACCCTCAGTGCAATAGATGTTGGTTTTGTTCCCACAGAGCTCTAGGAAGAAATAGAAATGACTCAGCTCTTGGTGCTTCAGAAGTTTTTACTCCTGCAAGATCCCTTCTTATTCTCAAGAACATGAGAAGTAAACCCATGATTTAAATTTGCATGGCTAAATATGCCCATATAAAGCTTGATATGTAATCTCCTGAATCTACTCATCTCCCTTCTCTTTCTGTTCCCTGTCCTCATTCAGCCCGGTGAACTTAAAGACTGGTTTGTTGGTCGAAGTAATGCCCAAGGGATAGATCTAAACCGAAATTTCCCTGATCTTGATAGAATAGTCTATGTTAATGAGAAAGAAGGTGGCCCAAACAACCATCTGCTGAAAAACATGAAAAAAGCTGTGGACCAGAATCCTAAGGCAAGTAGGCGCTTAATATCGGGTCACTTACATGCCCATCTCTTCCCTTTAATGCAAGCAGACATAGCAACCTCTAAGAGCTGTGTGTATGGTCTTTACGATTCACGTTCTTATAAATATTTTTTTCATTTTGTTAAATTTATCTGTCTGATGCTTCCTGAAGTTTTTCTCAAAATGACTTGCTGTAGTAGAACCTTTTGATCCATGTTGCTTAATCCTTAGACAATTCCTCACTCAAAACATGTTTTATTTTTAAGGCCAGAGATTTTGTCACCTTCTCCCTTGATTTGAAGCTATTCTTGCAGATATTCTGCATTTTTACCATTGCCAGAAATTCACTTCTGTATTGTGCTTAATTGCATTGCTGCCTAGATAGCTATTCTCGCATATAACACATGCATTTTTGTGAAGCTTAAGCCTTAAATATACAGGCGTATATCTGGAGGGATTTTTATCTTCTTGTGTTTACCCCCAGAGGAGGTTCTAGAAAATATAGTGTTGTGACTGCAATCCCATAGGATTGTGGCCTTAATAGCCATATTCTGTCTTCAAATTCAAATTATTAAATGAAGTAATTTTACTTTCCGTGCAGAGAATAGACTGCATCCTACCAACATTTACTTTGATTTAGTTTATTTTCCTTTATTTAAAATTTGGTAGGCTTTTTTTTAGTCATAATGGGAAGAAGTAAAATATTGAGATTGCTTTATGCATGATCTCATTCTGAACTAATTTACACCAGTTTTAGACTTATATTAATCTACTTAATATAATTATAAATCTGATGTGAAGGACTGATTCAGTTCTCTCTGCAGCCAAAATAAAATTGCTGTTCATTTAAATGTCTTGCACAATATATGTGATAATAATTAAGCCCACTATATATAATTGAATAAGTTTCTATGTTGAATTATCAGTTTGTAACTGCTTGTAATGCTATTTTATTGTAGCTTGCTCCTGAAACAAAAGGTGTCATTCACTGGATTATGGATATTCCCTTTGTGCTTTCTGCCAATCTTCATGGAGGAGACCTCGTTGCAAACTATCCTTATGATGAGACTCGGAGTGGTATGTAAGAGAAGTTAACATGAAATAGTAGGAGATAGAAATTACATTCTGTACTTATTTCACTGCTACTTAAGGTCCACTTGGTAAACATCATGTCATTGCATTGTAATGACTTATTTTAGCATGTTAATCACATGTTTAAAGCTAGTCACTGTATGTCCATGTTTTCTAGTTTTGAAGATGATAATTTTTTCAGTAGAGTTACATCACAAAAATGATGTAATACCTGAGGGAATCATAATCCCTCAGATATTTTAATTGAGGCAACTTAGCTCTTAAATCAGCTGGGGCTGTTTGTACGCTGTTAACTGAAGTGAGAGAGATGTGTCTAGGCTGCTTGTATGATCTAAAATTTCTCTACTTGCACCTTTAAAAAATTATTTTCTGAAAGCATTAGTGTGCTGACAGAAACAACTGTCATTGTTTCCACTTTCTCAATATTGGTCCTATATAAAAAGGATCGCATTGTGGCAGAGATGTCATCATTTAGCACACAGCAATATTAGTTTGTTTTTTCTGCTACTAAGGGATGTGCACATGACTGAAATGGTCATGATATGATGGTATTGTTTGTGATTGTCTTCCTTCAGTCTACTTTCTCACAGTTTAATTGCAAATCCTTTTAATATCAGACTGTAAAACTCTTTAGGGAGAGACCTTTGTCTATGTACTGTGTGTTCTAAGAAAATATTTAAAGCCTACAATAGCTTAGATTTTGTGGTGCACTTTTAAATTAATATTTTCAAAAATACTAAGACTGGTATGAATAGTCACCTCAATAATGGGGCAACCTGGTACAGGCAGTTGATGAAGTATTGGGGAAATGTTAATGTTATTAAGATAATGCTATATTAGTTTTTGATGCTGTAGGACACTTACCCATGTACAGAGAATTTCCAGGCACAGTCCTGCTGTGCAGTGCTGGTAATGTAGGTTGTGAGCCTGGTCGGTAGGACTGCCCTTTTAATAATCCTTGTTCCTGGACTTTTTTTCCTCCCTAGGCAGTGCTCATGAATACAGCTCCTGCCCCGATGATGCTGTTTTTCAAAGCCTGGCTCGCAGTTATTCTTCTTTCAATCCTGCTATGTCTGATCCAAACAGACCACCATGTCGTAAAAATGACGATGACAGCAGCTTTGTGGATGGAACAACTAATGGTGGTGCATGGTACAGCGTCCCGGGAGGTGAGCTCCACTGCATGGGGCTTCAGTGTCACTGGTGGTTATTTTAAGCTTAGTTTTCACTGATTTAATTACAGACTGGAATACCACCAGGTTATCCGCAACTGTTGTTGTGGTTAAGGCTAAATCAAAGGCTGAACACTCACCACAGTATATCTATAAAATCCCATAAAGGTCATTGTGATGCCTATTAAAATATTCTTCTTTTATTGCTTTTTCTGCAGTGTTTATTCAGTCAGGGTTCAGGTCGTTGCAAATTTAGTAGTTCTACAGTAAGTGAGCGATTGCTATGATATCATGAGAGCTTAAATATTTGTTTTGTTTTTTTTTTTTTTTAAAAGAGTAAAAAAATCCCCTAACAAACCCTGAGGAGAGAGAGCAGGCTACTGACTGTTCATTTTAACCTCAATAATGAAAGCATCCAACCTTGAAAGAAGTGGAGAGGCCTGATTTTGCAATGTTATTGACAATGGCAGTTTGGCCTTTGATTTTCATGGGAACAAAATCCAGCTGTGAAGATACTTGCGTCTCCGTACTTTGTGGGTTAATTAGTGCCTGATTCCTGCCCAGGCAGTGTTCCCCTAGACTTTGGTGGAGCCTTTTGTGCTAAGAGGAACAGCAGAGCTACTATGACCACTTCAACACTAATTTTCCAGGAGAAGTCTAGAAGAGTAGCCTGAAATAATGAAACATTTAATTCCTTTTTACTAAGAATTTTGATATGTCATTTTCTTTATAAACTGAGGCAAAAAGGTGTTGGGATATCTAAATCTTTGAGTCTTCTTTGTCTGCTAAACTCAGACAAAACTTTGGAGTGAAACTGAGCTCGGCATTTCTGAGCTAGAAACTCAGCTCGCGTTGGAGTGACTTGCCTGAGCATTGGCTTTCTTTATTTGTACCACATAACTTTGAACGCATGTACCAGTTTTATTGTTTGCTTTCCTCTTAATATTCAATTACAGGCTCTGAATGAATTTTAAATTTTTTACCTGGAATAAGTAGGAATCTCTCAAAGCATTTGACAGCATAGATGGTAACCTAACTCTGCTCCTGTTGCAGTAAAGAGGGTATTAGAAGAGGAAAATAATTAAGCTCAGGTGAAGAAATTAGAAACAGAACAATGACTGGTAGTGCTCACACAGCCAGCAATCACCTGCTTATTCTTAGAGCTGTTATCTCCAGTCTTCACAGAGGCAGCATGTTTCCTCTGCTGTGGTACCACAGGTACCAGGGACTGGGTGTAAGGTAAAATGTTGACATTTCTAAATATGACTGAAAAGCAAAAATTTCCCTTTGTGTGAAGCTTTCCACAGACTTTAAATTGGAACCATTAAAACACCCTTGACAAAACAGAGTTTGCATAATTTGAAAAAAAATAAATATAACAAAATATTGAGAGGTTTAATAGTTAAATTTTGTTTCAATTCAGTCCAAAAATTATCTTAATGAAATATTAAGTATTAACTATAAAAAAGTGGGCATATTTAACTTCAGCTTTTTTTTCCTTAGGAAAATGCTATAAAAAAACCAGTCTTTCCATTGTTTTGATGAAATGCTTTGGTTCTGACTACACTGCACATGCCAAAGGCACATTTTTCCATTGGAAAAACTTGTTGGAAAGTTTGAATTATTTCCTTCTTTTGGATCTTATTTTAAGTTAGACTGCAAATTCCCCAAATGAGCCCTTTCTTTTTCTCATGTATTTGTGCAGAAGTTAATAGACAGGAATCAGTTCTAACCAGGTTCTATGATCCTAATATGGTGCAGCTAATAGAAAATATGGAGATGACAATGTAGTTTGGACCATACAGCATGAATCTGTTTTTTTTTCCAAGCGTAGAAATCAACTGGCAAGCTGTGACTTTTGAACAAAACCTCCATGGTAAGGTTTGTCACAGGCTGACTTAAAAAACCAAAAATAATTCAGCGAAAACAGTTCTGTTTTTTTTCATGTCTAGTGCTAAGGAAAATAACTAAACATTGCTTAGTTCAAGTGAAAATTTTCTTGGAAGCTTTAGTCTGAAAAGCTCTTTCTGGAAACTGAAATGTGGTGTGCAAGTTATCTGTTGTATCAGTGACCTTTTGCTGTCCATATGATAATGCACTCAAAGTTAGCAGTGATGTAAGCTATTGAAAAGCCATTTGTATTGCTTTAGGAAAAGTATTTCATTGTATATCCTTACCAGAGTTCAGAATTTATCAAGAGAAACTCTCCGAAGACCTTGTCTGCATGGCATCTGCTCTGGTTCGGAGCTAAGGTGGTGCTTCTCTGCCTTTTGCACCTTTGGGTTGCTGTAGGCTGTTCTGGGTCCTGCAAGGGGACATGAGAGTAGCTCAGTGTCCGGGGGCACCTGCAGGTTAGGCTCGCGTCCCTGTGTGATCTCCCTGGGTTGAATGGAGGCAAAATAAAAGAGGACTTGCCACGAGTTTGTAGAGAAAGGAGGAGAACTGGAGCAACGTGACTGAGAATAGAGGTAGAAAATAGGTGAGACTAGGTACTGGAGCTGTGTTTGGTGTAGAACGGAGTGCATGGCTTTAGCAGAGCAGTGGTGAGGGAAGGAAAAAGGAGAGAGTGGAGGACAGCTGAGCTAGATGAGAGAGGCTATGCTCTCCTAGATGCTGCCTTTGACAATACCTCATCAGACCAAGAGCTCTGACCTAGGAAGGGCTGATTTTTTCTTTCTAATAAATTACTAAAGTTGCTGTTGCCCTATAGAGCTTATTATGGTGGCCCCAGTTGTGCTGCATCAATTTCTTTGCCCGTATCATTCGCCCACAGGAACTTCTACCTTCTGTAAAAGACAGTACTGCATGGTGGGCCAGCAGTCTTCATTGGTTCCTCAGCATGCAGGGATAATATATGGGTGGTTCTCTTGTGTGAGTATAGGTTGCTTTTGCATATGTTTTTCTGAATACCTGGGTTCTTTCAGTAGGAAGGTTGAATGTCTGGTGGCAGAAAAGTCTGGTAGCAGCCCTTGTCTCAAGCTGGAAGTAAGGATGAACCCTCCATTGCATTCATGTTCTGTCCTTTAGCATCTTTGTGCTAAATCTGAGACCATGATACCTGTTACACTTGTTTTGTATTAGTTGTCATCGGTAATTAGTTGATCCTTGTAGGTTTTTCAGAGAGCAGCAAGCAAAGGCAAAGGGGTCATTCTTCTGGGTTCAGGAAAGGCCCTTTTAGCCACCAGATCCTTGGGAAAAACAAGCCTGTACATAAAATCCATGCTATTTTTAACACCGGTCTTCTCCCTATCGGCATGTAATTAATGATTTCACTTATGCACAAGAAAGCCAAATTAAATTTACACAGACAGCTTTAATTTTGGCATTTCCTTAGCTGTTGAGTGCATAACTTTTCAACATCACTAATGGTTTTTTAATGTACCTTTTGTGTGGAGTATCTATTTGGAAATATAAATGAGAAGAACAGATAGCAATGAATTACTAGCTAGGCACATGCCTGTTCTGCTTGTTCTGTCATTACAGAGTCACCTGAGTCTAATCAGATTCATGTCATTACAAAAATAGCATTTCAAAGCAGCTTACAAATTGCTGTATTATTAGGCTATTGTTTAAGTGTTGTTTTATTTTCAGATACTCTCAAATCACTCTTCACAATTAATTAGTTTCTAACTTGAGTTACCTTTCATGTTACCAGTTTTGGAAGCAATGTTAGGTAAATTTTTTTAGGATTTTATATGACGTGTAGGAGGCCCATGTTCTCCTTATTACGCACAAGGCTCAAGCTCATCCTATTCTGCTAAAAGTTACTGTCTTTATAGGTGTAGACGCTGAACTAGTGCTGTAGCTTGCAATTCAAAGTCTAAATAATTCTGATGCCTGGATGACAAGGGCCCACCCTGCGCTCCACTGTCTTTGTGAAGGTTGGAGTTCCTTTTTTAAAAGCTGAAGAAATTGATTTTGTCCCATATTCTAAGCTTATTTATGCGAGTACTAACAAAGACACACTGTAGTCCCTCAGGACAGTAGAGCAGTGCAACAGAGGAGTGTTTGTGTTGCTCAGTTTCAAAGAAAAGTCCTACACATGGTCAGCAGTGAAGGGCATGAATCTCAGTTATATCTGAGGTCTGCTAAGCCTTTCTGATCTTCAGAGAGTGGTCCCTGTTAAAGTATAGGAAAGTTAGTTTTGTGCTGTCCTTTGTTAAAATGAGAGGCTATGGGAGTGTGGTGGTGTGAATGCATGTGATGTATGTCATGTGCATAACAAGAAGGCATAAGGCAGTTAGAGAGCTTGATCAGTGCCAGCAAAGTTGCCGCAATGTTGAACAAATCTTTTGAAATGTATTGATTTCTTGGATATCGCACTCAATTGCCATATTGAACAGGCAGGTAAAGAGTGCAAATTGTATGTAGCTGGCCTGATGCTCTCCAGATTACAGATGTGGTAGGCCACAATTTAGATCTAGGCTGTCTTCACCCCATTGTCCATCCCAGAGATTCAGATCATCACCTGCAGCTCAGTGATGCAAGATGAATTTTTTCAGGAGCAACACATAAAAACTACGGCCCAGGCCAGGATCTGGGAAACAAACTATAGGATATGGCCACTGCACAAAACTGGAAAACATATTGCTTCTTTATTGTGCCCTTGAGAAACTTGGGCATCCCTGAGTATCACCTTGCTTTGGGAGGTGGGGGGGAGGGAGAAACTGCCAGAGAATTGGAGCAATAACGGTCAAGAGTTGTTGGCACTACAGTAAAATTACATCATGCCCTTCAGCTTCCAGTTCTTCTCTTCATAGATTCTTTCTTGTAGAAGAAAGGCAAAAATCAACAAAACCAACATTATCTAGTGTCTGGAACAGATGTCTGGCAGTCAGCACAGCTGTCAGGATTTTACTCATAACTCTGCTGCTCTCTCACTGTGTACTGCTGAATGGTCCATCTTGCATTCTGCCTGGTGGGCCATCAGAGCCATCCCTCCCAGGACCACCTTTGCCTTCTGTGTCCTCATTTTTCAGCCATCTAAAAAAGGCTTAGAAATAAAAATGTTCTTTTAGGAGTCTGAAAAGTCCCTGTTCCTATCAGTAGTTAGGAGTCTCATTGCCTGGTTGGCAGAAAATAGATTCATCCTAATGTGCTGGCAAAATCCCACCTGACTCAATCTGTTCGCTGCCCTCAGTGTTCTCTTTTGTATATGACATCAGCTCTCTGGACATTTCTGGGTCAGTGCACAACACTGATGCTTCTGTAAAGAAACTTCATTAGGTCTCATATGTAGCTTGCATGGAGGAACATAGGGCTGAATGAATCAGCTGTGTTCGAAGGACTTTTAAATCCCTCACTGACCTCCATGGGGATGCTCAAAATGCTTGGTAGCCTTTTTCTTTTCAGTCCTCTGAGAATCATCTGACTCTGCTAGCTAGATAGACTGGGAAGGCAAGTGCTAATTCTACATCAGCTTCTGCAAAGAATATATTTATAACCCTCCTGGGGGCAGCCACAGTCCCTCTCCAGCTGGTTGATCCAGTTACAAAACTGGAAACCGCTTCGGTTACCAGTTGACTGATTCGAGAAAATAGCCGATATTTCCATGTAGTAAGAGAAGGGGCTCAGAAGTATAAAAGAGTACATCTTTCCCATCAAATTTTTATTCCTAGTGGTGATGCTACTGTATATATTTTTAAATTCCTATGGTTAAAGTTGCATTAATAATGATGTTTCTCTTAATGTATTAATTATTTATTTTGCAGAGGCATTGAGTCGGTTCCCTATCCATGGAAAAATTTCCATGTAAAGAATTTTCTGTAAAACGTTACTGAGTTGAAACCTATTTTTTCAGAAAAAAAACCCACGTTTTTGACCAGTCTTTATAAGCCTCTTTTTCAGAGGCACTTTGTCATGTTTCATTTGCTTTATAATTAATTGTCATTCTTCTCGGTTTACAAAGTGATCACCTTTTACTTTCATCTGGAAATATTTTAGCCATAATCAGAAATAATATTCTGTTCCTGAAGAGAAAAAAAAGTAATTTATATGTCAACTATCCAAAAACATGTGTCAGGTAGGGGTATGCAGGCCAGGTGGAACGTCAGGTAGAATTATACAGGCCAGGTGTTAAGTCTTTTCTAAACTTTCTGTGGGAAGAAAATGTTCTTGGGAATTAATTGTCTTGTTGGTTTTTCTAATTTAATACCTCTGATTTCAGAAGTAAGCTGATTAAATAGAACTGCACCGACTGTATTCTTTTCTTAACAGCCCCAGCATCTCACATGCCCCCCTTTATTTACTTCAGAACAATGCAAAATGCATCACTCTCTTCTGGCATTGCCGGAATGCAGGATTTCAATTACCTCAGCAGCAACTGCTTTGAAATCACAGTGGAGCTTAGCTGTGAAAAATTCCCACCTGAAGAAACTCTGAAGGGCTACTGGGAGGACAACAAGAACTCCCTTATCAATTACATCGAGCAGGTAACAAAAAAGAGGATGGCAAAACTCTAGTTATTGTACACAAAACTTCTAAACCTTGTGCTGTGTGAACATCTAATTCAAAATTTCATACTAATCCCCTTGGTGCTCCATAATTCTTATATGTCTCTAAGGTGGTAAGTCCTGCGTGAGCTTTCTAAATATGTGGAAGAAGAGAGGAAAAGAAAGAAAATGTTACAGTATGGAATTCATTTCACCTTACTTAAGCTGTTACAGACATTTAATTTAAATGATTTGTGTTGGCTTCCTCAGTGAAAAGAAATACACATCACCAGAGTGTATATAATTCATTCCCCCAGCACTGATGTGTATACTAAGAGAGATGGATTGCCCTCTACAGATAGCAAAGCGTGCCTACAGATGTGGGATGAATCACTCTGGGTGTACAGGGAGCCTAGATAGCTGGATTAGACTGGAACTGCCTGGAAGTTCACTGTAACGTCAAGGGACATCTCGAATCCTGGGTTTGTAGATATTTCACTGCTCTCTGATTGCATGAGCTGCTGATATTAAATGTAGAGCTGTCAATGTGATCATTCCATTAAAAATGATATGAAATCTGGTTAGAAGTGTAAAGCGTAATAATGGTTTTAGTTACTCTTGTGCTAATGGGTTAGAAGTTAAGACTTCTGAAATAGATCTGTATGTGTGTGAGTTTGGGGTTTTTTTGGGTTTTGTTGTTGTTGTGGGTTTTTTTAATCATTTCATGCCACTGTAACAGGCTGCACTGAAATGGTGGTTCCAAGCTGCGTGGGAGTTTTGACTCTCTGAAACCTGGCTATTGTAGTTAAAGATCACAAATATATCTGATATCATTAACGGCTGCACACCTGGGACTGAAAAATCAGAAACATACTTTGTTAGCAGTGCTGGCCAAGTAATACATTCATTTCTTTAAGAATTGATTTGTGGAGAAACGCTTTAGTTAGCCAGAAATCTGAAATATTTGGATATATGAAATGTTTGTTATACAGTTCTGTTAGTAAGTTGCATGTGGGCTGAGGAAAAAGCTCTATCTGCACTGCAGGTTTTTACCCATTTATGATGGGATCCATCTCAAATTGTTCAGCTTCTTTGCGCATGGGTTAATTTTCTCTGACTCATGGAAAACTATGGTGTCACTGCATTTTCATATTACTAATGTGTAAGAGATTATTTTGCCAACTTCCTCTGCTCCTGTGGAGCTGCTGGCTTTATGCTTGAAGTTCCCATGGTCTATCTGGCATTGGTTTTTATCCTCTTACAGGATGAGAGGTCCAGCTCTATGCTCCAGCTCCCCCATGATTGCTGAGGACAGTACAAATATGTACTTTCTGCTTTTCTAAGCCAATCTGTGTCAGGCTTCTCCCACAGTGTAAACTAGAGGAATCTGGTGAACTAAATTATAGCAGCTGAGTACACCATATAGGTTCGTAAAGGGAACATCAAAATCTCAAAATAAAATTTGTGATCCACAAGTCTTTTCAAATATCACAGAATCAGAGAGAAGCCTGAACTCAACACTTCCCCACTTAATTTCCAGGCTCCCAATGAGATGCATCTCTGCACAGGTTCAAAACATCCCCATCTCCCTAGTGCTGAGAGCTCCCTATCTCAGGCTAGGTAGTTGGTCCTCAGCCTCTTGCCTCTGAGGAGTTCAGTCTGCTTTCAGACCATGCTTAATAAATACCAGCAGGACTGGTCTCTCCACACACTGCAGTCAAATCAGTTCTTTAATTTCATATAAGATGGGAACAGACAGATTAGGTACTGCTGATGCTATTGCCTGGAGTATGTTGCCTAAGAGGCAAGAAGGAACTAGGGCATGACCAACCATCATCTTTCTCTCACAGGCCATGTGGGGAGTGTTGTGACTATATGTAGTCCCAACTCAAAGACCTGGATGTTTTGGGTGCATAATAGAGAGCTCAAGCACCTCACACAGGGATTGCCCATCAAAGTTCAAGTGCCTGCATTTAACTGGGGGTTCATTAATCCCCAGTGACAAAGACTTTCAAGTCAGTGTTCACATATGTTATGATTTGCTGCATATTTCTGACAAATGCTTGCATTGCCCAGAGAAATTGGTATAACTACCAGCTGAATTATTTTTCCTCTTCACTGTTTGTTCCATTATGATCTCAGTAATTACCCTTGATAGTTGTCGGCATGTAGACTGTGGGATCCATAACATGCATTGTTAGATATATCAATAGATATTTCACTGATGAAAATGCTAGCTTTTCTTAAGAATTTTCCAGGGATTTCCCATGTGTTGCTGACTTTATTTATTTATTTTAGATTCATCGAGGAGTGAAGGGGTTTGTTAAAGATCTTCAGGGCAATCCAATAGCAAATGCTACAATTTCTGTGGAGGGGATAAGCCATGACATTACATCAGGTGAGTGTTGTTCCTCAGGAAAACAGAAAGTGCTGGAATACACTGCTACTCCCTCTGCTTGGCAACCTGGAGCCATTTCAGATCTTATTAGCTGAAGCTTTAAGGGAACAAAATTTTGAAGCTGGGAAAACATGTTGTGCCTCAAGAAGCTTGTTGCCTGCATCATGAACCTTTCTCTTGTATTTTGCTCTCAAAGTAGCTGGAGACTGGTTGTTGGGACTTCCTGGATCTCTGGCATGGATTGGTTCCGGCAGCCTTTGGTTATTCATGCTTAGTTTGTCTTCTGATTTCTGGTGCAAGTAGTGTTTCACAACTCTGCCAGGATTTAAAGTCCTGTTGGCAGTGCCATTTTGAGCTTGAAGACTACATTGTAGTCCAAAACTGTTATATTACTTCTGATGCAATCATACCTTTTGGTATGTAAATTTTTGACAGATTTTCAGTTTCCATAACTTGAACGGCATATTTTTTTTTTGTTCGTACAGATACTAATTAGAAAAACAATAATAAAATGCCAATGCTTTATGTATGAGCTAACATTATGGCCATTTTCTCAATGATTTGTCTCACTATATTGTTACAGAGATGCAGAATGCTATGAAACAGGACTGGTAGACCGTGCAGCTGGCTTTGATTTGTATTTGTTCTCACATCACTTGCAAAGAGAACAGCATTTCTGCCAAGCAGGAGAACAGTCTATGATAACATTAGCCACCTTCTTTCACTGTATATAAGAAGGCAAAAAGTATAGAGGCTGGACATAAATTTTCAGGAATAATAAAAAGGGAATAAGCTGTGCAAAGAGATACTTTGAGGTATGAGGGTGATGCATACGATACTACAGCTCATGCTTCTACAATACAAAAAAGCATGTAATCATGAATCCTCTCACATCATTGTGCGTGTATAAGGCTGGAAGTCATGTATTGTCAAAACAGTGAGGAAAACAAGTACTTGAATTTTATCACATTCAAAAAGAAGGGTAAATATTCTTTGACTTTTTTTTCCCCCACTCCTTTGTTCGTGAGTTAAAATTCAGCTTTGTTCCAGTGCCAGGAATTAGAATAGATCATTATTGTAGCGCTGCAGCAGTAATTTTTTTCCTTTCTGTTTTATGAAGAGAAAAGTCTGTGAACAACTGGGCTGACTACTGACATTTTTTGACCGTGTGAATTGCAGACATTTAAGTAATATTTCCCTCAGTGCGCTGTGTAGCTGCAGATGTGCTGAAAAAGCATTTAAGGAACTGGCAGTAAGAGCATGGCCAAGTGCTTTAAATGGCACTGCTAACTGACCTTTAGAATAGCCTTGCAATGTTTTCTAAAATTCTGCGTGGAGATAGAGAAATTCAGAGTATTACCCTGTGACAAATTAGATGATTGCCTACTTCTTCTGCAGGGAGGATCTGATTCTTTGTGAAAATGGGAGAGGGTCATTTCTAGAGAAGAGGACTATGCATTTTTATTCTGTGACTGAAAAAGATGGTCTGCAGTAACACTCAGTGCAGTAGGAGCCTTTCTTTGACCTGAGTGGCTCAAACTTTCATTTCTTTGTTTAGCTGAACAGAAGAAAAAAGCCCCAGACATTGCCTGGATACTGAAACATGTAGATAATGATGCTTCAGAGGTGATTCACATGGAATATTCGAGGAGATGATAATTTATAGCTTTTTCAGCAAGATAAATTGAGAAAGGTGGTCCTATTTATTTACATTTGATGGCAATAAAATTTATTTAAATTTGGATTTTCAGAATACTGAGGAACATTAAAAATCCACATTGCATTGCCAACTGAAACTCAGACACTTAACAGGAGCTGCACTTTAGCCAGGGGTGCTTCTGAAGTAGAATAATGTCCCAGATTGTCCTTTTCTTCAGTGTGCTGGAGAGCCTTCAGCCTCAGCAGGCAAAATCTTTCATGGAGGCTACAGCACAACTTCAGAGTTTAAATCTGTGTTTTGGTTACCTGAAGAGAAGAAAATCTGTAATGATGTATTTATACAGCTCTTACAGAAGAATCCTTTCAGACAGACAAAAGGAAAGGGCTGACAGGAATACAAAAGATGCTGGCAAGGTATACGGTCCCTTCTCCTTAGCTGCATAATTCAGTTTATACGTATTTATTTGGATTTTTTTTTTCTTCTTCTCTACAGCCAAGGATGGTGATTACTGGAGATTGCTTGTGCCTGGAAATTACAAACTTACAGCCTCAGCACCAGGCTATCTAGCAATAACTAAAAAAGTGGCTGTGCCCTTTAGCCCTGCAGTTGTGGTAAGTGCTCACGTGTATGTTGATTTATAGAATCATAGAATCATAGAATTGTCAAGGTTGGAAAAGACCCTTAAGACCACTGAGTCCAACCGTCAACCTATCACTGCCAAGTCCATCTATACCATGTCTTCAAGCACCGTATCTATCCGTTCTTTAAATACTTCCAGGGATGGAGACTCAACCACTTCCCTGGGCAGCCTGTTCCAATGCTTGACCACCCTCTTGGTGAAGAAGTTTTTCCTAATATCTAACCTAAACTTCCCTGGCGCAGCTTGAGGCCATTTCCTCTCGTTCTATCACTTGTTACTAGGGAGAAGAGACCGACCCCCACCTCGCTACAACCTCCTTTCAGGTAGTTGTAGAGAGCAATAAGGTCTCCCCTCAGCCTCCTCTTCTCCAGACTAAACAACCCCAGCTCCCTCAGCCGCTCCTCACAAGACTTGTGCTCTAGACCCTTCACCAACTTCGTTGCCCTTCTCTGGACACGCTCCAGCACCTCGATGTCCTTCTTGTAGTGAGGGGCCCAAAACTGAACACAGTACTCGAGGTGCGGCCTCACCAGTGCCGAACACAGAGGCACCATCACCTCCCTGGTCCTGCTGGCCACACTATTCTTGATACATATCATCTATTATATATATAAAAAAAAGCATCTTACCTTTTTTCCTTCATGGTATACATGTAAGCAGGAGATGATTTTTCATGATGTTTCAGAATATGCTGATTTAGAAGACTGACTGGAAATCTAATCTTCTAGTACTCACTGCAGAAGCAACTGAGAGTAATCTCATTGTAAATTCATAATCTCCTGTTGGTCCTATTTAAAATGAAAAGACACAGTGAGGGGTAATATTGAGATACTTATACTTTTTTTTTTTATTGGTTGATGTGTGAATAGCCAATCAGAAGATTACAGAATATCTTTAAATAGTGCAACATAAAAAGTAAGAGATGTTGAGGTTTTCATTGAGACTTGATGTTTTTAATCTAAATTGTCAAGTGACTACGTGCATAGGTTAAAAGCAGTGTTCAGCTCTGTGCAGAAAGATAGTGATAGAGCTCTGCTTTGTGTAGATACCCAACATGTATGGTGAATAAGACCTAGGCTGCATCTAAGAGTTCAGAAGCATTTTTAATTCATCCTCTGTACAGGTGTGGATTCCACTCTTAACAATTAAAATAAATGCTTATTTCTCTAGCATGTATCATATGTTAGGATATACTACAGTAACACTTCGTATCTACACTAATGAGCCATGTGTCAGAGAAGCTCTCTGGATCTTCTTCATGGTATAAAATTGAACATGTGTTTTGATATGCTGGGTGTCTGCATTGCTAGGTGTTAGACAGCAATACACTGATGATACTTTCTATTATATGCTAGAAGATTTCTGTCGCTGGCTATTATTCAATTTTAATTTCATGGGCCTGTATTTTTTTAAGTGTTTAGACAGTCAAAGAATGGACAGATGTCTGGTTTCTTTTGGAAATTTTGCTTGCCTATGTGCATTTTTTAGTGATATTTATTGTACTGATATGCTAGTATTGTACATATTTAAATGAGCCCTGAGAGACTTTGAAATAAACCTAGCCTAAAATGGAAGGTACCTCCCTAAGCCCCATGTCTGTGTTAAACAACTTCTTTCAATAAGTTCTTTCTTATTCTTTCTTACTCTTCTTTCTTAAAAGCCTACACTTTTCTCTCTCTACAGATCTTACTGATGTTTTTGATTGTTTCTCTTACTTAGGTTGATTTTGAACTGGAGTCATTGTCTGAAAGAAAAGAAGAGGAGAAAGAAGAGTTGATGGAATGGTGGAAGATGATGTCAGAAACACTAAATTTTTAAATGAAGATTTTGGCTTTACAGCTTTTAATCTATTATATGTTGACTTAGTATAATGTACTGTGGCAAGTCCATATATTCTAGATTTTGTGCACTTCACAATAATTAACTTTGAATTTTTCAGTCATCTTTTGATTAATATGATTATAAATAACTACTAGCCTCCTAGCTAGATAAATAAGTTATTAATTTTTTTTCATATTGTTATAGAAAATTTACTCTTATATACAAATCAGAAAACAATGAGTGAATGTCTCTGCAGCCTATATGGAAGTACAATCTGTTGTGTATTACTTGCAAGTTCAGAATATGTAGGTTAACTCTTAATTTTAAAAAAGAAATGTGCTGTAGTCAATTCCCAATACTGCCAGAAATATTTGACAGTGCATAGTAATAGACAGTGCTCTTTACTGAGTTCTATAATGGATGTTATTGAAAAGATTTATGATAACAGTGTGTGGTGTAATAATGTTTTACAAGGATTAAAATTCAGTATAACATTTTCTATGTCTCTGGTGTTGGGGCTATTTAAATATGTAAGAAACAGAAACTGATGTCATTTTAGTAAGCGGAAGGAATCTGTGTAAGGTCTTTTATTAAAGATGGCATGGAATGAATTCAGGAAATAGCAGAGCTTTATTCCTTAAACTGTTCATGATCTTTCAAGATCAGGTTTTAGTTATTTCTCATTACTTATTAATCAAATTAAAAATTGTGAATGGGTGAAGAAGAGCTTGTGCATCTTATTAATATACTGCTTGTGTTTGTTTTACAGCAAGAAAAAAAAATCGTTTCAGGTGATGTCTGTTTTAATTAGATAACTACCTTTTCAGCAATCTTTACATGTGTCAGTGGTGTCTAGATAATCAGCCAAAAGTTCATGTGTTCACTGAAAGCTACCAAAACATTACAGTTTAGACAATGAACTGGAAGTCTACTGAGGACATGCATTTAGTCTTACAAGCCAAGAATCGTTTTGTTTCCAACTTTGTTTCTTCTGCTGGTTAGTCTTATCTAAAGCTAGAAGCAGGACAGATAAATGAAAATTTTTTCAGTGTGGTTTAATTTTACCAAAATACTTGAAGATGATACAAAGAGCAACTTTGATTTAAAAAGATCCTTCTTCCTCCCATTTTTTTAGTATACTTGAATTAACTTGCTTTAGTATTTTGTCTAAGACGAGTGAAATTTGCGGAGTCAGAGAATACATATGAACAGTAGTGGGTGCAAGTTTGGTATAATTCTTCTGAAACCACAGCTGGTATGCTACTTGATAGCAGCTAAGCATCTCATCTGTTTGAAAGCTTACACACTATTGCTGGTCTATTTTAATTCAAGATCAGATGTTCGATATAGATTTCCTTCCCCTGTTTTTTTAGTATCACTGTCTGTGTTTTGATTAGCATATTATTTTAGTTGATACTGTAGAAGTTCAGTACCGTTCAGAACCAACCAACAATGCACTATCATGCTCCTGCAGTAAGTGAAAAATCACATGTTCAGGAGTAGGATCCAAATTTACCTCCTTTGGGTATTTAAAAGCTACTGAAAATACTGTTTTTTGAGAATTTGAAATTCTTTAATAAAAATAGCACTTGATCCTTTAAAGTAACAGGCTTAAGGTTTGACACACATTGATAGATTGAACAGCAATAAAAAGGCATAAACTTTCTCTGATCAAGGATTTTCTGTGTAACCTGTAGCTCATTTGGGTAGTAGATATTTAATTCCAAACTTCAGGGGAACTTCCCTGGCTGTAAGTTGTTAAGCAGTGATGAACTTTGAATCTCCATTGCGATGAGGAACCCCTGTGGCAAATGAAGAATTATATGTGAATGTGTCTTCATAACAACTTGTGGCTAGCTGTGCACAAGAGCGTGCGTAAAGGGTGCCCAGTTACACCAACTCAGATGTTTATGACAATTTGAAAGGCTAAGACACGTAGCACAAAACACACTCTGTCTCTGGAAGTAACGATACTGTTTTTGACTGAACCAGGTAAAATTGAAGCAAACAGTATAAAAATGAATTAAAACAAGAGACCGCTGGCATGTGGGCAAATGGCTACAGGAGTGTTTGTGACCTGTAAATTAATGTAATAAGGCAAGTGTATATTTGTGCAGAACACCCTGCTCTCCCCCTTCCAAACCTAACAATTTCAATCCAAACAATATCAGTACGTGGTGTGGTGCCTGTCATGCATCTGGTCTTCCTGTGTGGTGGATTGTGTGTCATAGTTAGTGCAGATATTACATCAAAGTGATCTCGTAACAGATTTCTAACCCTTACTTGTATTACGTGTGTGAGATCCTCTGGTCTACTGTTCTATGCATTTGTGATTAAATGTAGTAGTGTCACTTAAATGATCTCTTCGTTTTGCTCTAGATGACTGCTTGCTATTACTGTGCTGAGAACAGGTTAAAGTGATTAAATGTTACAACACCAGAACCACTGCCACTGTTCTTGCTGTAGGTAAATACCCTTAAGAACAGCATAGCCAGGACTCTTAATAAATTAATTAATTATGTGGATTTCCTAGCTGAACTGAGCTGTGTTGTAGGACTGTGTATGTTTAATTGGAAGATTGAAGTGTTGTGTGATGCTGAGCTTTTGGTTAAAAAGGCACATGCTGTACTATTGTATAATAAATCTACAGGTTTATTTAAAATGTAAATGTGTGAGTAATTTACAGGTTCAAAACATGACCTCTTTGGCTGTGCATGTCTGCAAAGTATGCCATAAACATCCACAGTGAGGTGCATGTGCCAATTAATTTTCCATTTGAACAGAGAAACGAGACTGGGATTAATGCCGGTATCCCCTTGAGAGCCACCCATAGCCCCTTAACTTTGTGCCAGAACATCTTCCTTTTGGAGTATACATCTTTCTGAGTGCTTTTCCCATGCAGGTTTTCAAGTAAAGTAATGGATAAGAATGAGATGCTCTTCATCTATGCACGGTTGTTGGGGACTGAGCATACACTTTTGCATGTCTCTCCCTTCCACAGTATTTACAAATCTATTCTTTTTCCATATCAGTCCTTAGGATTAGAAAGCACAGTGTGCAGTGTGCTTGCAAACCTGTGGTACTATGCATTCCTTGTAATTACAGTAGTCAGGATTATAGTAACGAAGTAAGTCAAATAAAATCACCGTGTTTGAATTATGTTTCCCTTTTCCTAGGTTGTGGTGTTCATGTCGATATATGTGAATTCACATATAGTCCTGGCTATTCCTGAGCTGATAATAACATACATTAAAGTGTAAATTAAAACTGAGATGGTATGTAAGAAAGAGTTGCTACCAAGTTTCCTTCTCTGAGGTTTTTTAACAGATGTAACAGGTGTGTTAGGAACACTTAATAACTAGCCCGTGAAAGGAAGAGGATTCAGAGAAGGATGACAGGTAGGTTTAGAGGGGCTGGAATTTAAAGTTAAAAGGCACAGTTCCCATAAGCCTGATTCTCTCCCATATCTGAGCTTAGTTTGACTCAGGATGGCAGAGGCTGTATAATAGCAGCAGGTTAATGACTGCCTCTCTAAGAGTTAGAGCAGCCGTCTAGATCTTCTCAGTAAACCTGCTCCACCGGAGGAGTGCCTTGTTTCCTACTTGTAGTTAGCACTGGAAATGCAGGACGCAGAAACATCACTGCAGCACTTGCTTTCTGCCTTCCTGAATCTTGCAAAGAGCTCATTCTGGTCGGCTCCTTGCAGGTATTTTATTCCCCCTGTATGTTTCTGTTCATGTAGAGCTACATCTGTTGTGAATAATTTACTGCTTGTTAATTTGACTCATAAGTTCGGTCATTGACACAGCCTCTGTTCCAGTATTTCAGACTTCTATAATTAAATCCAGAAAGCAAAAACACTCTGAAAGTATTTTCTGAAAGTCGTGGCATAAAAAAACCCAGTGGGTTTGTTTGCCTCCTGGCTTGTGAGGGTTTTGAGTGAGCTTGCTTCAAGTTTCCATTTTTAAAGCCTGCTTTAAGGGTAGAAGAAAATGACAACTGAGAAGTTGATGTAATCCTATGCCTCCAGGGGCTAAGGTTTTGAGCAGTATAGCAAGTATTGGAATAGGCAGTATAAAAATGAGATATTTAAAAACAACTGCTGTTTACTTTTACTAACTGTGATAATGGGAGTATATTAATTTGAGTTAAATGGCCTTGCAATGCTGATCTTTCTTCAGCCCTTCTTGTTTTGCCTCTCCATGCCCCAGGCATTATATTTCAGTGATGACTTAAACACATCCATGATTAGGCACCATTTATCACAGTGCTAGATTTTCCCTGAATTAATGGTTAATACTTCATGTTATTTTATCTTTGTCCTACTTTCATATTCAGTTAAGCCACTACAGATTTTTGTAATCACACGTCCCTCTGTGCACAGTGGAAATTGTCAAAGAGAGAAGCCGAAGAGTTTGGCTCCTGCATTGGGAATGTAGAGGGAATTTGACATCTGGGAATATACTGGAAGCAGTTTAGTATTGTGAAATAAGTAGATTTTGTAGACCTTTTTGCTAATCATTCTTTAGTAAAGGGCTGAATAGGATTATGTGCCTATGGGATTCTAGGAGTGCAGTATGTCTGTGCCTTTAGACTTTAGGTGAAGCTACTCTGGAAAGATTCCTGTTAGTTTCACTGAGGTTTTTATCAGACTCTCATGCCTGGAATCTGAGTAGTCAGGACTATTTGGTGCCAAGGCTGCTCATTTTGCATTAGCAGTAATTGTTCTTCATCTTTTCCAGGAGCAAGAGGCAAAATAATAAACAAGAAATGAAGTCGATTTTCACAAAGTGCAGAATTGGTCATGGAACTTGTTAAGAGTCACTGCAAGACCTAAAGCAGAAATAATGGAGATTAGCTGGACCAGTGGCAATCTACAGCTCACTAAGCCTCTGAACTGCTGCTCAGTGGAAGCCAGGAGGGTAAATAAGGGTGATATTTTTGTTACATTCACCCACTGAGGATGTGGTCAGGGCCATAATTTAGAGACAAAATATAGAGCTAGATTAATTTCTCACCTGACTGCAGCATGGCAGTAATAGAGGGGTTCACAGTGTTGCAACACCATCCGGTAATGTGAGATTCCAGTTCATGGACGTGGAGGAGCATCTGTTCTGCGGTCCTCCATGGTGTGTGTGCTGGTGTCCAAGGGTGCAGAACCAACATCCCTCCTCCACATTCCAGCACCTCTCACACAAAAGGTAAATTAAACACATTTCAGAAAGTATGGACAAGATTCAAGAGAGGACTTGACTGCCAAGAGCAGTACGAAATTACAGTCTGACTTCCCTCCCTTCAGCTCACTAAATATCCGCTCATGTGGCTTTCCTTGGCTGCTTCCAGTTCTCACTCTGGGTGTGTCAAAAACTAGTCCAGCCTGAGCAGCTCAAGGATCACTTGTGCCAAGACCCATCAGGAGTGGATTAAAGGGCTTTCTTGTGTCAAAAGATCCTAAGTTTGCACTTGCACTGTGAGGCAGGTCCCCTGGCATGGCCTGGCATCCTGCATCTTCGGGTCTCCAGAATGGGGACCCCACCAGTAGCTTGCTTTTGGTCTGCATGCTTAGATTTCTTCCAATCGAGGTAGAAGACAAGCTACTACACCTCCCTGGTGGTATAGGAGGAAGGATCTGGCCTATGCCTCTGACTCCATGTCAGAGCATGGCAGGCATACATTAAGACTTGGAGGCTGGGAAGTGCTACTGGATTGCATAGGTTGGACATGGTCTGAGACATGGTTTCTGAGACATTGTCTTAGAAACTCAATCTGTAAAGGAATAGGAGTAAACCTTATACTGCCTTCAGAGTCAGATAATTTATTTGACGG